GATTGCTCTGAAGAAATCAGAACCAGAATAGAGAAAGCTAGAGCCACATTTACTAAATTGAAAAAGGTGTTCTGCGGAAGAGATCTAAGTCTAAAACTTAAAATTCGCCTTTTGAGATGTTACGTTATGTCAGTTCTCCTCTACGGGATGGAAACATGGACATTGAAAAAGATCGATACCAAAAAGATAGAAGCATTAGAGTTGTGGATGTATCGTAGAATATTAAGAATACCCTGGATAGAGAAAGTAACAAATATGGAGGTTTTGCGGAGAGAGCGGAAAGAGAAAGAGCTGATACTTACTGTTAAAAAGCGCAAACTACAATATTTGGGACATGTTATGAGGGGAGATAAATACCAGTTGCTGCAATTGATTATACAGGTAAAGATAATGAGAAAGAGATCTATAGGAAGAAGAAGGCATTCATGGTTGAAAAACTTGAGAGAATGGTACAATTGCACCAATTACCAACTGTTTAGATCTGCAACATCAAAAATACGCATAGCTTTGATGATAGCCAAACTTCGGAACGAAGACGGCACTTGAAGAAGAAGAAGCAAAGACAATGACGTCGACTTTGCTAAGTATCAAGACAATTACTCTACGCACACACTACACTCTACACTAGGTACCTTACTGTAAAAATTCACTGTACCATGCCAATGACCATTAGTTGTCGACGCATTAAAATCAATAAAAAAAAATTCCTTTAACTTGTAATTATCAAATTTCTTTGATAAAGTTGAATTATATTACTGTTTTTTGGCAGATAATTGTAATGTCAAATATGTTAAATTGTTAAAACTAAAACAATTAAGGACACTTAAGGAACAAACAGAACACACTTAAAAGGACAAAACAGACATTGAATTTAAAATGGGGGACTTCATAGCACTACATCTCTAAATTGGAGAAAATGAGTTTTTTTTGTCTATTAGAGTCTATTATATTTTTAGAGGTAAATTTGACAAGCCAATGTAGGTTAAAGTGTGACAGTTCTTCTTGTATTTTTTAGTACTGCAAGTAAAGTTGACCAGCTTTTTGAAGTACAGAATAATGAAATTCTCTAAACATCTAAATGGACACTGTAAGTTAATATGTATAATATTGGCATACTTTTAACAGTCATCAAATAAATTAAATTTAAATGTAAAGTATACAGCTGCCAGCTGCATACTTTGCGGTTCATCTTCTTCCTATTTGTTGAAAGCCAGGAAAATGGGTCTTGAACAGCTCCCTAATAGTTTCCGTTAGACTCTCAGTATAGTTACCATTCGGCTTTTTGATCAGTCCGATTTCATTTGTGTGATCTTTTGAGAGAATCTTTTGGAGTCGTTGTGTAGGGGCTAATTCTGTTATCCCTTCGCATATTTTTCTTTACGAGTTTCACTTTGATTTTCTTAGTTCTTTGTTGTACTCGGTAAGGGCATTTCTGTAGGAGTCCCAACTACCTGTATATTTTGCCCTATTGAAGAGTTGTCTGACCTATTTTCTAAGTTAAGTTAACTCTTTATTCCACCAGGGAACATCCCTAGTGGTTTTCTTGTGTTTTAGAGGACAACTTGATTCATAGGCCTTTATTATGGCATTTTAAAGTTGTTATGAGGCTCGGTCTAGATTTTAATCTGTGTCGAGCGACGTATCGAGTTCCCCCATTTCGCTTTCGAGACACTCTTTATAAGTGTTCCAATCGGTCTGTTTTGGAACTCAATATTCCTTAAGGCCCTACTCAGATGCACCCAAGTCGAACCTTATATGTTGATGGTCCGACATTGAGGCTTCATTCGAGACATGCCAAGAACCTCTTTTATAATTGCGTTTATAAATGTGGGTTTGTTACCCCTGTTTGCAATATCTAAGTTATTAGCAGATATATAGTCCAGGAGATAAAACAGTATACGACGATGTCGCCATTATTAGTAGAAGCAAAACACGACTAATGGAAACATTTAAGGAAATTGGTCCTTAAACACAAAAAAGGATTGCTTAAAATAAACTAAACAAACACTAAGTACATGACCATCAAAACAACACATAAGAATGAAAATAATATAGCAATAGACAATTATACTATTGAACATGTGAATGACTTCACATATCTGGGCACAGTAATCAATTAGAAGAATTCCGAAAGTAGCGAAATTAATGCAGTGGAAATCGTGCATACGATCGTGCAGTGGAAATTTTCTGCATATTCTCAAAACCAACACAAGCAGTCTTGCGGTTAACTAAACCTTTAATTGGCAGCAACAGAAACGTAACTGCAGACAACTGGTTTTCGTCATTAGATCTGATAGAAGTTTTGCAGAAAAATAATCTTACGTATGTAGGAACTTTGAAAACGAACAAACGTAAAATACCTTCGTCATTTTTGGCCAATAAAACCAGAGAACCTGGTTCTAGTGTTTATGGATTTAGAGAAGAGTGTACAATGGTATCTTATGTGGCCAGGAAAAACAAAGCTACAATTTTATTATTATCAATGCATGATAGAGCTTGTACTGATTCTTCAATAGAAACACCAGAAATAATTACATATTATAATATAGATATAATAGTAGAAGCAAAACACGACTAATGGAAACATTTAAGGAAATTGGTTCTTAAACACAAAAAAGGATTGCTTAAAATAAACTAAACAAACACTAAGTACATGACCATCAAAACAACACATAAGAATAAAAATAATATAGCAATAGACAATTATACTATTGTTCATGTGAATGACTTCACATATCTGGGCACAGTAATCAATTAGAAGAATTCCGAAAGTAGCGAAATTAATGCAGTGGAAATCGTGCATACGATCGTGCAGTGGAAATTTTCTGCATATTTATTTTCAAACCATATTCCGTTCTCACCGTGCCTAGCCTATTTATAATTTGTTTCAGTTCTTCTGGTGATGACGCCAATATAAAGCCGGAGATACACATGCCTGTTACTAGCACAATGGCATACCAGTACCTAGCAAGCACCAGCTACTGTCCCCAAACTAGCATGTGTATACGTTAACTGGCATGCTAGTTCCTCGCATGCCAGCTAATCGCAAAGAATTTGATTTTTCTTGCTTTTAGCATGCTGTGGGATGCAAGGTGCATGCGTGGGGAGTATCACTGGATTGTATGAACGCGCACTACCGCTACGAGCATGCCAGTAGCTAGCTAGTATATAAAAATAAAATAGCCCGTGACAATGCCTACACAAAAATTGAAGAGGAAATTGGTGAAGATATTACTTTAAAAGAGATAAAGGCCAAAATAAAAAATTGCTACAAGATTGTCTTTCCTACTAATCCAATTTTTAACCCAATTTTTACTCTGTTTTGAGTTCCGCTTCAGATTCATTATTCAATTTCTAACAATATCTGTGGTCATCAGCAATATTTGCTTGTTAAATTTATTCTGAATACCCTGCATGGATCACCTTTTTTTGTTTGTAACTCTACTAGCACTGGCATGTGTAAAAATCTACGCTGCTGTTTAGCCTTGCCAGTACAGGCAAGTGAGCTACTGGCATGCCAGTTACTGGCAAATGTGTTTTGTGCTTGCCAGTTGTTACTGGCCTATGTCAACAACTGGCATTCGAGCTACTTTTCCAATTTACTGGCATGTGTGTACCCGGCTTAACAGTGTCATCAACATAACGGTTTTTGATTTTTCTTCCTCCTATCGTTTTTCCACCTTGCGATTCCTCAAAAACTTGACACATAATATGTTCACTATAAACATTGAATAGAATAGGGAATATTATACATCCCTGTCGAATTCCAGATTTTAATTTGAAGTTTTCCGAAACCACATTATTAACTCTTACATTATCAGCATTATTTTACGATATTAAAGTCTTTGGAATAGTCAGCAAAACATAAATATATTTCGATGTTAAACTCTCGAGATTTTTCGATAATTTGACGAATATTAAAAAAATGTTCTCTTGTTCCTCTACCTAGGACGAATCCGCATTGTTTTTGGGAAATTTGCGTTAAGAGAATTGATTTTAGTCTTTCGTTGATAATGGTTAGAAGTAACTTTGCTCGCATGTGATACCAATGTTACTGTGCGGTAATTACTGCAATCTGTCGGTCAACCTTTTTTATATATAGGAATAAACGTGAGTTTACCCCAGTCATTTCACCACTTTCCGGTATTCCAAATCTCATTGCAAGTTCTAAGCTTTACTTTAGTCCCTAACTCTCCCATTTCTTTGAGTGTTTCAGCTGCTATTCCATCTTCTTTTTTTGCTTTTCTGGATTTTAGCTTTTTAATGACCACCTCAATTTCTGATTTCAATATTTGGGGTTCTTTTTCATTATTGTCTATATTATTGTCTATTTATTGTTTGGTATACTAAGATTCATATCGATGGCAAATTGAAGGAGCCGTTCACCTCGTTCATTTCGCTCGCCTAAGCCATGCTCACCTATCGTTCCTTTTAAATGGTCATCTATTTCAGTTTTTCCTATTTTTGCATTCCAATCTCCTATTGTGATCATTGGTTCTATTTTGGGAATGTTAGAGATGGTTTCATGTATCAGGTGGTATTATATCTTCTGTCGCTTCGGAGGTCGGCATGTATACCTGTATAATATGCATTTTGGCTGGTTTAGCGTTTAGAGTTATTTTGATTGTTCGATCATGTACTAGTAGGTATTCATGTATATATTTTGTCCAACGTTTATAATTTAATATTGCTACACCTTTTTATCCTGATTTGGTAGCTCCTGACATGAGAACTTTGTAGTGTGTGGCCTCCCAGTGTCCTTGGCCTTCCAAGTGTGTCTCAAATATTCCAAAGATATCTATCTTCTCCTTGATCAGTTCATTTTCTAATATATACAATTTACCTGTGTGTAAATACCTATTAACGAATACATGGCAACGTTGTTTTAATATCATTTAATGTTTGTATTTCAAAACCATTTTTAATATCAATAATAAAGAAATTACCTATTTTCCTGATAACAAAAATTGATATAAAAAAGTTTATAGCCAGGTTGAGAAGGAACCGCTTGTCTGATTTAAATTTTAACGCCAGTGCTTAACAACCCATTTTGTAGATGTACTGTATATGCCAAATTGGAAAGATGCGTTTGGCTGTAGTCTTTTTAGTACTTATGTCCATTTTTGGATCTTTGGATGCTAATACCTTAAAGAGTATCGCTCAAGGCAATGATAGGTTTACAGAATATACATATAAGGTAAAATAATTTTATTAATAAAAAATATGGTATAATATAAATTTTAAATTTCTCTTTATTAGCATGAAAAAACTGTTAATAAAGAAAAATTGTTTAGATTTAATTCTTATAGTTGTGGTAGATCGGGACAGACATTTAATGCTTAATCTCATAAATTATAAAAAAATACTGGCCGTAATAGTAACAGGCTATATTAACATGGTATTTAGGCATCTGATAATAATACTACCGACAATTTTGTCCTTGTATATTATATTTAAGGTATAGTGAATTTAGGAAATAAACTATGCTGGGTATATGCATTAACTGGTTCTTTCTCTAATTTGGGTGAGATATTAATTAAAACAAAGCAAATCAATAATACTATTCCTTTTTCTCCAAATGCCGTCTAGATCAGTGTAGGTTAGCAAGAAGTCCGCTAAACTGTGTGCAATTTTGTGTCGTCTACATAAATATAAGTAAATTAAATACTATCTAATAATGGATATTTTTTAGCTAGAAGTATTGCCTATGACGAGGTCCTCTGCAGGCTTCTATTACTTCTGGTATGATTAGTTTTGAAGGCTAATATTTCTGGTTTCGAGATTCATTTCATTGTTATATAATCCATCTCATCTTGATATATTTTAACAGTTATATTCTAATGTAAGTTTCGTCCTTGTTAACGTAAACTACTCAGGATATTCTAAGCATACCTTCGTGCAAGCACTAACAACTGTATGTTGGACAAATTAGAATACATGCATAATTCAAATAATTTATACTTTACCAGTGATTTTGTTTATTACCATGCGACAATGGATCCAATCTATTATCATTTATAGTTACTCCACTCAATTTTTTCTGGCTTTCTTCTATTTAAGGATGGGACGACAAAAAATTATATTTTAATCTGTTGAATAACTTTCATAACAAATAACTTAGTTTTGGAGAATCGAAAACAACAAAAGATTGTAAGAATTGTTATCTCATATATACTGGTTTACTAATATTCTCATATTTATTTCAGAAACTAGATTTGGATGACCCTAGCTTTAATCCTTTTTATCCCAGGTACTTTCTTTTTCCCCATAATACCTAATTATATTCTACACTTTAGTTTTAGGAATATTAAGTGCATCCGCAACCTCACAGATTTTTTATTGCAGCAATAGTTTTTAATCACCATTTAATTCATTTAAATAATACAGAGTTTGACCAAATTTGACAAAAAATAACTGTAGAATATATTACTGTTATTTTTTTAAAGTCCAGCTGCATCATTTTCAGAGCCCAATTATTTGTCTTTTAGTAGTTACTTAATACTGTCTCAGTATTAGACAGTCAACAATAGCTAAATTGATAAAAATATGGAAAGACTGAACAATACTAAGAGATACTAAGCTTAGGTTGGTTAATGCCCTTTTTTATTGCTACATGCGCAGCTAAAACATGTACTCCCAAAAAAATCCAAGCCCTCGAAATGTGGGTCTAGTGAAGAATCGTGGGTGTGTCCTAGACAGAACATAGAACCCCCTGTTAATTCTGGAAGAGCTTTACATAAAAAAGAGGGTATTAAAGAATGTATACCGAGCATACCATATTTATTTTGGCTACTTAGATAGAGCAAAAGATATCGTGGAACTTTTAAGGGAAAGATCGTCAACACGATGGGCAGACCAAATGAAGACTGGTAAGAAAATCCGTACATAAAACTGTCCATATGGCACAGGATCGCAGTCAATGTATACAGCAAGCTAATAATATTTAGGATGTCAGCATGCCATAACAAGGGCTCGTGGAATGATCAAGAGTGCTCAATCATAATATTGATCTTAGTTTTTATGTCTTGCCCAACAGAAAGCTTTTTCGTAGTCAACAGAATACAAACATAGTTCAAATTTTACATCACTATATTGCTGAATCAAAATGTTGATGGCAAATAGTAGGTATGTTCCTTTGTTTTTAGTATAGCTCTTTTAAGTATAGTGGAGTGCAGGCTACACTGGCTAGTGCCAAACGAAAGTCATGGCTACGACACTAAACAAAGAAACGTTTTAGTGTAATTAACCTTTAAATTGCGATTCATGTTAGGTTATTTTATGACTTACATTCGAATTTTTTTGTTTTGTTTTCTTCTGCTTTCGATGTTTCTTCTTAAATTTAAACAAAACTTTTTTATAAGTAGCTCTATATTTAAAAAAAATTATAAAAATGAGTGATGAAATATATATATAATATATATATATAATATATATATATTTCACCTTACCTATCATATGTAAAGCATAAATTTTGAAGCAGGAGTATAACCCTGAGATAAG